GCGTTCGTGTCACATAAAAATTGCGGACCAAACCACCACATCGATAAATTCGACAATTCGTTCGGGCTAATCCCTCTTGAAATAACATCTGCCGCATTATCTTCAGAAGGAACATGTTTCCAGTCTTCAACGTCGGTTAATTCGATAATTTTTGTTACACGATTAGCTACGAACGTTTTCAATTCGTTGGGTGCATGATTTAACCATCCTAATACTATCGTCGAATCGCAATAATAAACAGTTCTGGAAATATGTACATCAAGGATTTGCTTAACTGTGTGAGTCAAATTTGCTAGTAAATATGCAGCTAATAATTCTAAACGAGGTAAGGTACATTTTTTCTGTGGTGCAACTCTTGACTTGGCACACAGAAGTCGTGAATACATCTTATTTTCAAAATTCTTAGAAACTAAATATATACATGCACCGTAAGCTCGTTCAGAGGTATCACTAAATCCATGCAACTCTATGGTGATCGGGTTTTTACAAATTACGTGGCGATTGATACTTAGGCTATTCAACGAGTGACTTTGGCTACTAAAGGATTTCCATTGCTCACATATATCCTCAGGTAAGGGTTCGTCCCAAGAAATTCCTCGTTGCCAGAGGTGTTGCATGTAAAATTTTGCTATGATTGTAGCTGGGCCGATTAGTCCAAGCGGGTCAAAAATCCGTGCAATTGCTGCTAAAACGGTTCTTTTTGTTGGGTTCGAGTTATTTACATTCATATTTATGCAGTAGTTTAGAGTATCCGTGTTCGGATTCCACGCTATACCTAAAGTTTTCAAAATCTTGTTCTCGTTAAACTGTATCAAATTATCTACATTGCTATTATTACCTAAAATTGTCTTCAAAATTTCGGTTTCATTTGAACACCATTTTCTCAGATGAAAACCTGCACTGTTCAATACTTCCGTTATTTGCTTGTATTCTACTAAAACTTCCTCTATCGTGTCTAAGCTTGTGAGTAAATCATCCATATAAAATGAATTTCGAATGATTTCACATGTACGCGGATAAATTTTATCATAATTAAACGAGAGCTGCTGTAAGCATTTTGTTGCTAGATACGGTGCGCAAGCTGTTCCGTACGTTACGGTATTAAGAGTATATAATCTTAAAGGGTCGGCTTCATCATACCGCCATACAATTTGCTGATAGCCTCGGTCATCAGGATGTACTATGATCTGCCGAAACATCATTTTTACATCCGCGCTTAATACATAACGGTGTAGTCTAAGTCTCATTAAGATTGCAAAGAGATCATCTTGAACAGTAGGACCTACTAGTAAATGATCATTCAATGACGTGCCATTACTAGTTTTTGCGGATCCATCGAAGACCACTCTGCAGCGCGTGGTGCTGCTCGATGCCTTTATGACCGCGTGATGCGGTAATACGTACGAGGGTTGTTCGATAATATCGCTAACTATTTTTTGTGGATTCATGTGATTCAATGCTTCGTATTCTCTAAGAAAGTTCATGTAATCTTTCTTCAACTCTTTATCTCGTTTGAACCGATACTCAAGGGAATTGAAGCGCCTTTTTGCTCCCACTAACGAGTTTCCTAAATCCGGAAAATTTGATTTGAATGGCAATCTAACTATAAACCTTCCATCCGCGTTTCGTAATGTCGTTTGACTGAAATAATCTTCACAATATTGCTCGTGTTTTGACATGATTCGTGTTTGCGGTATTTCCTCTAACTTCCAAAATTTTGATAATGATTCATCTAACATCTCGTTTGTGATCTCATGTGAAAAATGACATACTGAATTATAATTCGTGAATCTGTTTATGTTAATTGAACCGGTAAATATCCATCCTAAAGTAGTCTCTTGTAGAATTGGTAAATTCTTACCTAAATGTAGTTGTCGAGAGCACATTAGCTCATAAAATATATTGGCTCCGATAAGAACATCGATTCTCCGAGATATATTGAACTCTGGATCGGCTAATTTTATGTCATTTGGATACTGGAGTATATCACTTTGAAAAATAACTGTCGGAATATTTTGTGTTATTGTAGCCAAGACTAAAAATGTCATATCAACCTTGAAGGATGTGAATCGAGATGCAATAATTGCCCTTGTTCTTTGAGTAATACTGGTTAACTTTTGATTGATACCTGCAATAGGTATATGAAAATCTTCATATTTAAATTGTAATTTTTCACATAAATCCCTAGTTATAAGATTACTTTGGCTACCTGAATCTAGTAGAGCTCTGCAGATATGTGGATTGCCAAATACATCATAAATAATAATTTGAACCGTGGACAATAAAACTAGGTTATGTGAAGATGTTTGTGCGGCTTGTATACTTGATAAGTTTGTATCTATTGTGTGATAGTTCGCTTGGATTTCATCATTGGATACGAGTGCTTGTGTTTGTGAGTTACTTGATGAGCTCAAATTATGAATTTGTGTATTTGATTGAACGGGCATTTGTGAAAAAACTTGTGTGTTTGCGTGCTGTGGTGAATTTAATACTAGATTACTCATTTGAGGATTATGAGATACTTTAACTTGCGGGTTGGTGGTTGAAGAATGCGATGATGTTTGTTGATTATGCTGATTATTCGGTCTACTTGATTGATAATAAGTATTATTATGTAATAATGTATTGTGATAACGATCACAATGCTTGCAACCACTCGACCTACAGTCCCATCTTGCATGACCTGGTCGGAGACAGTTACCACATAGTCGTAACCTTTTCACTTGTTCATATTTTTCGTTTAGTGTTAATTTTATAAATTCTGAGCACTGGTATATATAGTGAGGACCGTTACAAAACATGCAGGAAATGTCATTGGTTTCTGTAACTGCGTAGGTGTGTGTTCAGGATTACGTTGCATTTTAAGATTGTTCGCATTTGTATTTACACGTGATTTATAATCGAATTCATAATTATTTGTCGAGTGATGATTCGTTACTTGTCTGTGATTAGCCTGTGTTTGTTTTCGATTCGATGATTCCGAGATAGTTTCTAAAATACAACATTTTTTGTGTAAAAAATTCGAGAGATCCTCATGTGTAGGTAATTTGTCATCAGTCAATGAATTTTCCCATTCGCGGGTAGTAATATTATCTAGTTTAGATGTTATTAAATGTACTAAAATAACATCCCATTGATTTGTGAGTAATTTCAACTTTGCCAAGGCACTTAGATGATGATGAACCTTATCGGTGAGTTGTCTCAATGAAGCTGCGGAGTCTTTCGTTACAAAAGGAAGATCGAATAAAGCTCTAATGTGATTATTTACAATTACGCGTTTGTTTTGATATCTTTTTACGAGTAAATCCCATGCAATTTTATAATTATCAGCCGATATTTCTAAGGATTGAACGAGCTTCCAAGCATCATGTTTCAAGCAAGACCTCAAGTAATAATACTTCTGTATATCTGTCAGATTTACATTTGAATGAATTAGCTGTTCGAACGTGTCGTGAAATGTTAACCAATCATCATAACTTCCTGAAAATATTGGTAAACTAATTGTGGGTAATCTTAAATTCGATAATGTATCCAAGTTTATTGGAGGAGTAGTAGTAGGTTGGCTCTGAATCGAATTCGATGGTTGTACGGAAACTTGCGTTGCATTTTTTATTAACGTTTGTGCTTTGGCTATTGTCTCATAGAATAAGTCTTCCTGCTCTACTCGATGAACATCTTCTTCAATATCTAATATCTCTAATCGTGATTGTACCTTATCAAATTCCTCAAAAACTGATTCAACCTTTTTCATTCGAATTTCTAACTCGCTAATGTCTTTTTGTCTATCTGTTGATCTTACATAACTTTGAAAACGTGTTAATTGACCTTTCAATATCCCACGTGATTTTCTCAACTCTGATATTTCAACCTCTGCAGGGGTCGACATTATTCAAAAGGGTCTATGAAATTTATAGGTATTCGAAAGCTAAACTGTAACCAGATGTGTACAAGTGGACCTACAGTCAAAAGAACTGCCTATTGGGAAAATAGATAATGGATGGTAATATAAACAGGAATAAGTGCTTACGGTTTTTCGAGTGGCTTTATGGTGGCTAATCTATCGAGGGTGCTGACTTGTCCTTGAAACGGCTATATCTGGGTGATGTCTGGTTATCTTCTCCACAGGAACATGCTTCGAGATTCAGATGGGGAAAACTTATTTCGAGTTTCACTTGTATTTCCGTGTATTCATTCGCTTCAGATAATGATTATCAATATGCAAATTGACTACTTGAATCGCACTTCTTGTAGTCGACTTGCTTTCGTGACGGCACACTATATATACTGTCCTTTTTCGTGAACGAGGGATGCGCGATTGATTTCACTGATCGAGCATTACACTTTTATTAATTGTCTTTCTGGCACTATTCGGTTCGATTGGACCAATGTTCATTCGTGTATGTACTTTAGCTTGAAGGACCACCCTGTTAAGGGACGTGAAATAAACTATCGTGATGACTTGCTTACTTAACTTTATTGTACTTAACGTGGACTGTGAACTATTTTATGCGTGTTATATTGACAGTGTGTGGAATGCTACTCTGTCTCAACCCTCAACCCTACTCAGTCCAAATCGATCGGTCGGGGTCGCTCTGGTACCACGTTGCCAAATCGAGTTTAATTTCTACATATACTCAACACCACCTCCTTGATTAACCTACAGACAGTATGTATAGATTCCTATTTCCTTTTCACTGTTTAGTTCTTGAATCTTTGTGAATACTGTCTGCATGATTTTCAATGAAGTTTCATTGAATTTTATGAAGACACAAGAAATAAGAATAACAAACCTTTATATGGGATTCTGTACGGTTCAGATGCGGCTTGTCAGGGTAGGCAAGATGGGAATCACCCATATACCCTCATAAAATGGAAAAGAGTGATCATTTGTTTGGGGGACATTGTGTTTTGTCAGAGTGACCTCAAGCTAGCACAACTGCTTCACAGTTCATTGTACCAGTATATCACCTGACGAAGCTACTGTGTTAGCGAAACATGTCGTGTGTTTGAAAAATTTTGTGGAAATCTTATCGTATGTGAAGTTTTCAGATTTATCATGGGTTTCCATCAAGTAACGGCCAGATCAATTAAAAAAAAATCATTTTGCACGAAATACATTATGTATGTACTCTTGGTATATCACGTGCACACAGCTGAGTAACCCTCACTTGATACTATTAGTTGCCGGTACCCCAACGTTTGTTCTGAAGAAACCACCCAATAACTGGACTATAACTCCTTCTAATCATTCTTATCTGCGATACCAGCTGTTCAGAAACGAAGGGTCAAAGCAGACTACATAACTACACTCACTCGAGGACAAGCTGCTTCATCTCCCCGATAGTCCGCCGTTTCACCTCATCCCTCTTCCCGATAACAGGGTGTATCCGGTCGATTTCCTCCCTGAACTTGTCACGCTCGCCGCTGTCAAGGGCCAGATAGTCGACGATATCGCCGAAGTCGTCGCGTAGGGCCGGCCCTTTGCCGTCTTTGGACCCGGGATTCTCGTTCTCGGACAATGGGTGCTCCTCGCTTCTGTACTTCCCGTTGTTGTGTAGGATCGACGTCTCATTTGGAAGGGTTTCCTTCGAGATGTTCGTACTGATAGCGCTGAAATGATAAAAAAACATCAGTTAGTTATCTTTCTACAAGGTGTTTTTCATTTCTACGATATGTTTATTCTGGATATCTCTGGTCACCTATCATCTTTTTTTCATGTTCTGGTGCCCAAGAAAAGGGATATCCTGTGATGTTCAGAGAACATCGTGAGAACCAAGAGAAATTAGGTAGGAATTTGTGTTCGTCTTGAATTTCTCGAGGTTATAATATGCTTCGGGGAACACCTTTCTTGACAATGTGTTTCAGAGCCTCGCTGTTGGTTGGATGAACGAGTCTTTGGAGAGAGATGTTCGGCAAGTCTCCAAAGTGACCACGAAGGAGTGCGAAGCCTCAACTCAACAAGTAAATCTTGCTGGGACTGCCAAGGAAGAAAGAATTGTTGATATTTCAGAAGAGCATCGTCCATATAAATATCTATGAAATAGGGCCAGATCGCCAACTTTTCTACGGTGTTTCACAGAAGTGAGTTGGTTTGTGAGCGAGTCATCACCCACGAGACAAATTGCAACAGTTTCAGGGTATGTTTGGGTGCTGCACTCCGAATATAATATTACAGGACCTGTCGTATCTGTGCCTATTAGATCATAAGCAGCTGACTGGAAGTTAAATAGCTCCTGGCCCGAAACAGAAAACCAAGTTTTTGGGATGCACTTCAGGTATGGTTACTCCTGACAAGCAGTTGTTGGGCACAGTGAGATCGGCTCTTCTAGAGTAAAGGCATGCTTGTGTTCTATATTTGCATTGAAATCTACCAATCCTCATTCGAGAATTGTTGCCCAGTCCATATTCATGTTGTTAACATTTCTTCCTCGTTCGTTTCTGATTCGCCTGGCTGGTATTAGAGCTCTGGAAGGGGAGACGGTATGGGAGATACTATCATCCGCGAAGCTGTGTACTGGACATAAAGTTGCTTTCAACAAATCGTTGATATATAGTAGACATAGTGTTGGTGAAAGAGTTGATCCTTGCGGAATACCAGCATTAATGATGAGAGAGTCAGATGAAACTCCGTATACCACTACATGGTAAGACCTGTTTGGGAGAAAACTAGCTAGCAGAGAGCATAGCTAGGGGGGCAAGCTATAAAATGAAACCTTGGCGCGGAGTCCGTGGTGCCAGACTCGATCCATTGGAGATATCAAGTGCCACGGCTGAGGTTCCACCATAGTTCAAGCGAGCAGGTCACCAGTTTATCTCTGATGACGGAAGCCATTTTGGCTCTCTTTATTTTCAGAAATAATAGATAACAGTGCGATCGGTCTGTAGGTGAAAGATATGTCAAGGACCGTAACTTGTAACAATGCGACCGAAACCGTGGAACACATACTTTGCTCATGTGAAGTATAAGTCCGCCAAGGGCTGAACCACCTAGAACAGGTCTATCTCACCCCTGCTGAGGTGGAAAATTCCACTGTCAGGAAAATTGTGGGATTCATCAGAAGTCAAGGGTTAGAGGACCAAAACTAGATAGGGGTAAGCACAATAGATCTTCTAGGTCGCAGTGATCAAGGGATCTCCTAGCCTATACGACCCATATACAATCTACATTTACATCTAAGGACTGAAAATTCAATAAGATCATTTTTTTTAGAACAAAACCAATCATTGAACATTACCCATTACTACTGTAAATAATATGTATGTAGCGAACTACAATTTTCTTGGTTCTGAAGTAGTTCTGATATTACTCGAACTTTTGTTAGATGAACCAACAAAATTGAGGATTATGTTGGGGAGACTGTGCCATTATATTCAGATTTACAATACATTGAACTTCTCAGGTGGGTGTCGAAATTCATGTAGGTACCATCAAGGGGAGAAACATATTGAAAATCAAGCTACCAATGCTATGATAGAATATAATCACCATTCCTCCACAGAGGGTTTCCAGAGATATTGTGAATAGACTCAAAGGAGGAATTGACGCTTTAGAATATTATTCGAATGAAGCTACAGGTTCCAAATTATTGTTTTTTTTTTGCAAATTCTGAATAGGGGTCATGTTCTCCGAGGCTCTCTTCTGCCTCGTTCGAGTTTTCATAATTTGTGAACCGTTCTGAAACAGTCCTAGTATTCTAAACGACTGCGCACTAGTTCTACGCAGTTTGAGAACGATTCTTGAACAGTACTGAAATTGGAACCAAATGAACCCATAGTGTATTTGGTGTCAAATCATCATCGGAATAACACGTTCGCGGACAGTCATGATATTTTAGAGCATGTGCACTATTGGGCACAAGCGGCATATACTGACAAGCGTCTAGCTATACCAATGAGTCTTCAGAACCCAACGACTTCCGATCATTTTCGAATGATCCATCGCTGATGCAGAGCACGCGCCAAATTTGAAACTTATCAACAATCCATGAGTCGAGTGCGGTCGAGTAATATACAGGGTGATCCACGGTGGATGGCCTATTAGAAGTATCTGGAGAACGAAGAGTTGGAATATTCTGAAGATCCGTCTGAAATATTTTTATCGATACAGTTTTGTCACTTCTATCAGAACCAACTAGCAACTCCGTTATTTTGAATGGATCACCCTTTATTTTATTGCATTTTTAGATTCATCCTGAAGAGCTGATTTCATTAATGCATCACACTTGGGGTCTAACAGGAATGATTACACAGATATAGAGTGTTCAAAATCGAGAAATTCCAATTTTAGGATACACATCCTTATCTCAACTCTCGATTCACTATCTACTGACATTTAATAGGAACAGATTCAGGGTGATCAGAATTCTGAATCTTGAAGCACCCTGTTTGTTTTCCAATTACATTTCAGTAGATAGTGAATCAAAAGTTGGGATAGGAACATGTCAGCCGTTTTGATGGATAACGAATAGTTTCGATAGAAAAAAATCCTAAAATTGGAAAATCTCGATATTGAACACCCTATATCTCTGTCATCATTCCTGATAGGTCTCCCAAGTGTGTTCCATTGAAAAAATTAGCTCCCCAGGGAGAATCCAGAGATGCGATACAGAGTGTTCCATTTGAAATAACAAAGTTGCGAGTTGTTTCTGATAGAAGTGACAACGCTGTATCGATGAAAATATTTCAGACGGATAGAGAATGTTCAACTATCAAAGCATCCCAATTTTCTGAATAGTTTGTCGGTTCGTTCTCCAGATACTTCTAATAGGTCATCCACCGTGGATCACCCTGTATATGTTCGGAAAATGATGCAAAATGATATTTTATAATATGAGCCACTTGAGGCTTGAAACAGTTCCATGCCACCACTCTCCTGCTGCAAAACAGTAGTTTTGGCTGGTTCATTCCAAAACAATATTATAGTTACAACAAATTCACATTATATTCCAGGACACCAGTATATTTTCATTTTTTTTTTACAAAAATTGTTTCATAACGCTATCCTTAGGCGCCCCTGTGCTGATGACCTCATTCGCAGTCCGCATCAGATCCTTGTTCATTCATTATTCAAAATTTTTTGGGATTTTCTCTCCTCGTTTTAATAAGATAAAAATATGAATATTATTTCAATATACGTGTAGTGAGGACAAATCAGATGATTCGCCCCAAAATGTCACTGCGTTTGAAGAATTTCCCTATCAGACAGCCTAAAAGAAAAATTCACTAGCTTTTCAGTGAAAATTTGTATTGAAAAATGTTTGGAGAAGAGAAATAAAGGTATATAGAAAGAATATCAAAATTTCACTTATCTTTGGACGTTTCGGGACCAACTCTGCTCCCTTTTTCAACATAAGAGATGATTATCTCAATAGCAAAGTCGTATCTGTCTTGGAGCTTCTCAGTTTTCATTGACAATTGGTGCCGTTGTCAATCAAATGAGTTACAGGATGTTTTCATTAATTAATCTTGAATTAACCATTTTCATGTTCAGATTTTGGTAGTGAATATCATGTTCTGTCTATATCAACTGAACAAGAAGCAATGCTATCGTCTTTGTTCAGAAGAATTCGAGCAGATTCCTTGATTTTTCTCTTCTGGTTATTATCTTCTTCTCCAATATTCCACTCTGTCATATGTTGTCCTCCTTCAGTAAGGATATGTTCAGCTAGTTTCGATTCATCGATATGTCTTTCCTTTATATTGTACTTACTTTTCCTCGTCCTTACTGAAAAAGGTCTCTTGGTCTCACCTGAGACACTAGCATTGCTCCTTGTTCAGTTGATATAGACAGAACATGGTATTCATTACTAAAATCTGAACATGAAAATGGTGATTCAAGATTAATCAATGAAAACATTCTGTAACTCATTCGATTGCCAACGTCACCAATTGTCAATGAAAACTGCTTTTGAAATATTCATTTCTTGTGTTGAAAACGGGAGCAGAGTCGGTCTCGAAACGTCCAAAGATGAGTGAAAATTTGATATTTTTTCTATATACCTTTATTTCTCTTCTCCAAACATTTTTCAATACAAATTGTCACTGACAAGCTAGTGAATTTTTCTTTTAGGCTCTCTGATAGGAAAATTCTCTAAACGCAGTGACATTTTGGGGCAAATCATCTGGTTTGTCCTTACTACACGTATATTAAGATGATAATCATATTTTTATTTTATTGAAACGAGGAGAAAAAATCCCAAAAAATTTTGAATAATGAATGTACCATACCTCCTCGATTAACCTACAGACAGTATCCTTGTTCATGTTTGTAGCGTTAACTGCGTTCGTCGTCTAGCGGAGTTACATCGCTGCTTCTGCATGGTGAATCAACAAGAAACTTTGTTTTCCATTTATAGTGTATTTGGTGTCAAATCATCATCGGAATAACACGTTCGCGGACACTGACGATATTTCAGGGCATGTGCATTATTGGGCACAAGCGGCATATCGTCGCCGCAGAGCAACAGTAGGACCTCCAAAAAAAAATGGGCTTTTGGAGATAATTGAGGTTTCAGCATTATAAACTATATCGACACCTAGTGAAACACTAAGACAAGGCTTATGACGTGATTGAATGTTTTATTTTCCACATATTATCTTTGTGTTGCAGA